TGGAAAATATTAATTTGGAAATTCTGTTAGCAGAATGCATACAGCACTTTATTAAATGCATTTAAAATCTGGCCACTGGTGGTGCTGCTACCCACATCATTTTCCTCTCTTTGTCTGAGCCAAGGCAAGAAGTTGTAGCAATAGAAAGCTGTTACCTTTTATGTGGACTATTACTACAGCTTGTCACTGGTTCCAGTTATTTGTTTCCTTGCCAAAGACTGAGGAACTTTACGCTGAGTTCCAAGTTCTGCAGCAGAGTGTGCACTACTGATTATAAATTATTTTTATACTCCGCTTCTGGCCTGCATTCCTTATCTTAGCGCCTGTTGGTTTTTTTGAAACAACCATTGGCAGCAGTAGGAAAATGGCAAGGAATGTTTTGTTTGGCCTCTGAACTCTAGAGTGGAGCCTGCTCAGTCTCTGCAGCACTGGCCCAATCCAGGTAATTCAAAGAAGCTGAGAAGGGCTGAGGCATTCTCAAAGTGGACTGAATCTTTGGCAAATTAAACAATCAAACTCTAACAAGCTCTCCACTGGGCTTCTGTTAAGAGTTTTTCTTCCAAGGCTTATACTGGTTCCAAATTTTAATAAATATTGCCAGATATGGCAAGATGCTTATGCTAACATTCATTTGTCATTTGTGTCCAAATTTCAACTTCCTCCTTCAGTGTCTGGAGATGCTAAAGTAACTTCACTTTCTTCCTGTGAAAATCTCATGTTTCAGGCACCTCTGATCTACACCAGGACAAATCTGAGACCAGAAAGAAAAAGGCAAGTATACTTATACACCAAAACAATGAATAGGTGCAAGATAGAGGATAGAGCTGTTAGCTGAAATATTTACAAGAAAAGAGTCCAGTTCTTACATTGCCCCAGTAAAGTTAACATTAGAATTAGGTGAGTGTCCTAATAATCAGCATGTGTTTGCTATCCTACATTGAACTTGAATTCCCCTCTTTTTTTTTTTTTTTTTTTGGCATTCTGGATATCTTATTGACAAAAAGCACACCACGATGCTACATTCTGAAAAAATATATCACAGTTCTACTGGTTCCAACAGTAAAAAAGTCATAATCATTGCTACTTTTTAAAATCTTTTTTTCCAATTTTACCGTTTTCTTCCTTTTATACATACTATTGTAGAATTCCTCAGAGTGCACTGAAAAAATGCAAATTCTATCATGGTTTTGACAAGTACATTACAAAAAAAAAATCCCATTTCAGACTCTATAAGGGAAGAAACAGCCTCTATGATCAAAATCAGCACAAGCTTTCCATTGGAAGTTGGATGAGGTCTTAGCTTTCACCAAAATTCATTCAGGTTAACTAAATTTAAGGAGAGGAAAATATGACACATGATGGTATCCAAATTTTTTCTACCCACAAAACATTTTTTTTTCACATGGCTGTAGCTGATATTTTAAAAGCTATTTTCTCAGTCTTCTTTTAACCCGGCTGCACTGCCACTATTGCAATGGGTTGTTAAATGGGTATTGCAAAAAGGATTGGGATTTTTTCTTTCGCTCTCTCCCTCCCAATCAAGATTAGCCAACTCCTAGTCAACATATGCTATATATAATATTTCTTAGGGTTTTCTAAAGACTGCAGGTTGTGTATACTCAAAAAATCAGCATTTCTCTTGCAGTTCTAGCATAAAGTCTTGGACTGATGCCTAGAACAGAGCCAAGATGTGTATCTCTCAGCATGCTCTGTCATGTGCTATTGGTTATAAAGCTTGCAATTGTTATACAGCTGGAGTAGTGCCTTAAGCATACCTTTGCCTTTCAAGGAGAAGGTTCAAACAAAACAAAACTTTTGTTCTCCCAGGAAAGTTCAATGAGAATGTCAGCATGACAAAGCAAGCTGGGAATATTTTCTTAAGAGAAGATCTTGTGATTAGTATAACTTTTGTTTCTGGCAATACCTAGCTATTTGCATGGAATACTTTACAGACATTAATTTATGTAGGCATTGGTTTATTCTCTTCCTAAATTCTTATTTTTTATTTAAAAGGGGGTGACATGCATTTTTGAACTTTTTTGGGGTATTTTTTCCTTCCATGTGATGAATTTTCCAATAAGAAGGGTTCCCAGATGGAACGAGAACACGGTAAGTTGGGAATAACACTGTCAAAAGGCAAAGTACTGTAAAACAAAAACAAAACAACACCAGTTGTTTACAATACAGTAAACAATTTCCAGTGCAAAAAGATTCCAGTGCTGTTATGCTCAGAGGTTCTTTCTCTATGCCTGAAAAGGTGCTATGAAGGAGAATAGAGTCCCTAGAGAAAAGATAAATGATTTCTCAAAATCCATATAAAAGCTCAATATCAGGATTAGGAAAACATTTAGATCTTTCATCAAGCAAATGTCCTTTTCAGGGGACAATACCTACCTCTACATTCTCGCCTCTACTGTAAAGTTATTATCTCTCACTATGCACATTTCTGAAATGTTAGGAAAATGTGCAGATATATGTTTTGTTCTACCATACACAATTAGAAAAATGGAAATCTGGAAGTTTTTTGTTAGATTTAATTAAAGTAAGTTACTGTGCTGCTTTGTCCTGGAAAGCATATGCGTAGAAATGCTCAACAGAATATGAAGCTTAGAATAGCCCTTCAAAAATAGACATTAACAGAGCTTTATAACTTAGATGTTAAAATTTCAGAAAGAAGACCTTAAACTCAATATCATGTATCCCAGCTCTCCCGTACTGAATATTTTGTATGCAGTAACTTGTATGTACTGCCAAGTGGATGCTGAAACGTATCTTTTCATCCGTAACTTTGCAATGGCAAGTCTTCTGTACTAAATTTACTTTGCATTTTAAAAGTTAAAAAGTTGAATGATTGCCTATTAAATTCAATACTACCATATCTCAGCTCCTGTGGAGAAGTAAATCTTAAAGGTTTGTGTTCAGTATACAACCAATTCAAACACGAACACTGTAAATGATGTTAGAGATTACCTTTTTATCATTCAAATTTCTCCTGTGAATCTGTCAGGGAAAGAGGTGGTTTTATAAAAGAAATAATTAGAATTGCCTTTGAAGTGAGTTGTGATCACAATCTAATAAGAAGGTAGATTAGTATTTGACAGTAGGACTAGAATTTTAACAGATGCAGCAAATCTATCTGCAAACAATAGCTTTTTCATTGGACAGCATCAGAAAACTGCTATGCTTTTCTGTTGTGGTTTCTCTCTGCTGTTGTCCACCTATCACTTTAAAATTTATCCCCTTAACAGTCATTAAAACTCCAATACAAACTCTTCTCAAACTATGTTTGTGTATACATAGTGTAGATATTCATCACTATGATAAATGAAGGGAAGTTTCTGTTGAAAGCTGGAAATAGCCCGTTTATTTATTTATTTATTTATTTTTTTAAAGCTATTTGAGCCTAATTCAAAGAAATCTATGGAATAATGCCATTACCCAACCCACTGCAACCTTCCATGAGATCACTTCTGCTACTCACTTTTTCAGGCACGATGCCTCTTATAATTCTTTGACTACTGTGGAGTCTCTCCTAGGTGCTTATTTCCTAAGTGAAGTCACTGCATCACTTAGTGAGATAAATGTTTGTGTGTGTGCTTATTCTGAAATATGAACCTCTCCAAGAGGAGAGGAAGTAATTCAAGTTTCTAAATAATGGCAAACACATAATTTTCATTAGTTTCTTGAAGTTCTATTTCTTTCTGCACATGGTCCATACTAATGAAAAATAAAAATAGCTTGGATAATCTGTATAACTCTATCAAATAAGAATAGACTGTTAACAAACCACTAAAAAGAACATGGCTAAACTAAGTACATGCCAAGCTAAATTTCAGTCTTCAGATATGCTCAAAATTGTGCAGGCAAAAACACAATCCTTCATAAGAAAAAAAGGAAACAGTTACATGACATATGATCACAAAGCTGGATGAAATGAATTTTGTCAAAACTTCAAATAGTAAGTGACCAGGATAAAACTGACCTTTGGTCAGTAATCATATCTGAGAAATTTCAGCTGTAAAGGTGAAAGCTTGGCAAAGTTATAAATAAATGAAAAGGACAGAAAGAAAACATTACAAAAATTATAGCTGTCAATATGGTCTCTATCTGGAATACTATTACTGGTAGTTTTTCAATATAGCACAGACAGCAGACTAAGGTGATCTATGGAAAAACAATCTGTCATTAATTAAGAGGAAATGAAGACGGTAGTGGGAATGAGATCATGGACCATCCAGAAAACCAACCACTGAAGAAAAAGAAAAAAAAAAAAAAAAAAGGAAAAATAAAGGTCTGTTGTAGCCAACTTCAGTGTTTTACTGAATTGACCTTTGAACCACTATGTCATCAGTTTCCAAATATCCAGTTTCACTGGCAAATTACTCAGCAGAATATGACATGATCAATGATCTGAAAGTTTTCAGCTGGTTGTATTGATCAAACATATAAACAAAACACAACTGTCAGCTGCTCCGAGTTCACTACTGATTAAGTGATGTTTAAAACAATTAATGAATAAACGCTTGAACACAGAAGAAAAAAGCCTAAGTGATATAAAGGAGTAAAGATGTTTATTGCTCACTTAATTAATAATTTGCTTTATAATTGATTTTTTTAATCATTTGACTGACAAACCTTAGGGTTTGAACTATAATTACTAGCTACCTACAATTACTCATTTTTAGATTTCCGTTATACACACCTAAAGTTCAGAAAGCAGAATTGCTGCGGCTGCCAAACTCTCTTCCAAATATTGGTGACAAAAAATAAATCTCAGACAATGCCAATTATTACAAGAATGTGAAGGTTGATTACTTTTTGTAAGAAAAGGCACATAAGTAAATGCTGTGGAACGCTGAGGCAGGGCTTGGGCACACAAAGGAATTATCGTAAACTAATGAGCTTCCAGGTGTCGGCCGAGCTTGGGTAACTAACAATATTCACACTCTTAGCCTGAAGCAAATCTGAAGCAAAACACATTAGATTAATCTTCAGGGAGAGCACCCTCTGTTAGCAAAACCACCAACCCCAAACAAGAGTCTAGTTTGCAATGATGCACTACCTCATGAAGAACATCTACCTGATTCTCCCTTGTCCTGATCTGACAATAGGAATGATTGAAATTTTAATTTGGGAATTTAATTTTCCTTAGACATCAATAGAGTGATCCAAGACTCAGTTCTATCTTGCCTTTGCAGAGGAAGAGCCTATAAAACAAGGGTTACTATAAAAGAGAGACCTGGAATCAAATTCCACATTGGTCTCACTAGAAAACTGAATTTATGTCTTTCTTAGACAGATAAGATGGGAGACAATCTAGCTGTTAAAAAATAAGGACCTGAGTTAAAGAAAATGGAGGGGGAGAGAATCTACCGTGGAAAGAATGCTGTTTAAAGAAAGGGTGAAAACTGAAAGATTAGCTTACTGTTACTCTAGTTTTATCTCTTGTAAGTACATTTTTTAATTCTTTAAATCAAAGTTCTTCTGCTTTATGTCTGCTGCTATTATTTCCCTGGAATTTAAAGTGCCTGTTTTGTTCGGCAAGTGGCTGTTAGAAATCTCGGGCTATTAAAAGATGGTGCCAATGTTAACTATTATATGAAGGATTAAATCTTAACTAAGTAGTATTAAAAAGTGACTGTATAAACCTTTAGGTTATTGGTACTTCCAAGATTTTTCAAAGAAAAGAAGACCAATATGAAGGATTAATAGTTAAGGTTATGCAAAATCCACTTAATCAGCATGGCTAATTTTAGCTTAAACTAAAGCTGCTGGCAACTCTATGCATTTTGCTTTGGGGCTTTACTTTTGAAGGGAGGGATGAATGCATTTTTGAGGTAAATCTATCTTAACTGAGAGACTACCTAATACTGTTTAATTGCTGAAAAGGTGATTTTAATAGCATTTACATGTAGGAAAGGAAGGAGGTCTTCAGCTGTGTATCTGTAAGATCCTAAAATAAGCATTATATTTTTCACATTTTTATAATATACTGGGTGATTGTAGAATAGGTAAGTTTTATAAACAATACAGTCATCAACATGGGCATTAATTATAAAGATAGAATTGTTATAGGTTAATATATATAATAAAAATATATATATTATATTAGTTATAATATACATAATAAATAATAATAATAAATATCTAATGACATATATATATATGTGTGTGTGTGTTATATACATCTGATATTAAATACCCGATTCAGAAAAGAGCCTAGGAAAATTGGAGCACACTCTGAAGATATGAATATAATGACTTGCCAGACTATCTGGGGTGCAAATACTGAAGATGGGTGTGTTTCACTGACAAATGCTACCTAAGCAAGACAGATGATGTACAGAGCATTGGCTCAAGCACTCCAAGCATTTTAAGCCAAAAAGATGAATTTACTAAGACTTACAGGTCTTTTACCCACCTCCAAAATCACAAAGGATTAGATTATTCAATGCGAAGTGGTTATGATATGGTTATGCTCTTAGTCAAAATACAGTGATATGAATGCTAAGTTTCCTAACCACTGAGAGTCAGACAAAATCTGGCTGCATTTCAGATTAATAGGGTAAAATGTGGAGAAAGAAGGAGGATGGGTATTTGGTGGGATTACATAGGGCTTCTTCATGTGGCTAGAGTAGGTAAGATTGGTAAAGTATGATTTGATTTACAATGAAGTTACTGCAATTGGAGCCGTGAGTGAAATCCAGCCATGTTATTATTTATAGACCTAATGTAACTATGTTGAAATGTATGTCTAGATCCTAGTGCACTAATACAGTATAATTTATTTTGAAGTCTTTTTAGGCACCTTCAGATTTTTTTTTCCTATGTCATGGTTAAATTAATTGTAATTCATAAAGCTTCACCTCCCTATGCCTGCTGTCATGCCCTGAGAAGGTCATCCCAACTTTCCATCTCTCTTAGGGTTTTCACTACTGTTATTTTTTCAATGAAACCTGTTTATCAGCTAGGAGCATAAGGGGTGATATACTGGACTGAAATCAATGCATACAGCATTGTGTGTGTGGAAGTGCTTTAGAAGATACTTCAGAAGGACTGTGAACCCCCACTGAGCTAATGAACTTTCTCTCGGTCTAAACTAATGCTTGGAGAAGGCTTAGGCCCTGTGGACTAAAGCTGAAAATTGTATGTAATTAGGTCTCCTCATCCTGTGTAAAATTAGGTAAAGTCAATAACAGAACCAGAAGCCACTTCAAGGAAATGGGGAATCTCAACAGCAAGTCAGGAGTGAGTTCTTCCTTCTTGCATTAAATCTACGCCGTTTATGTTAAATCTATGCAGGTTATGTTTAACTCCGTCTGTCTGCTTACAGAGGTTAGAGTTTCAGCTAACTAGCTTAAGTGCTGTTAGTCGTGATACTGTACCAGCAATTGTGCTTAGCAATCTACTAAGGACTTGCATAAACACTTAGATGGCAAGCCTGGACTGATCTTGGCGTTGGCCATTTAGCCATAGACATACAGCTATTCGCAGCTTTGTTATGGGTTGCTTCTGTTATAGCTAGTATGTGCGAGAGCTAGTGTTCGGTTTTTTGTTTTGTTTTAAGTGCAACATAGATATTTTGAGTCTTGCATGTCTTGGATATATGTCCCACACGAGGATCAAATCATGGCTGTTAGAAACTCCTTCTTCCAGATTGCAAATGGAAATTGGATTGAATATACTCAATGAAACAGATATGTATATTGTAGTATTTCCCTTGGCTAAATATCATTCAGTATTACAGTTCCACCTGTTTAGAATCTTCCTGCTCCTGACACCTGTTCTTAGTCAGGTATGGCCTTCAATTTTTGGTTTAGACCATTGTGTAATGGATCACTGTGCAATACTCTTTACTGCACCTCAGAATAAACTGTACCTCTTTGATGGAAAAAAATATTGGTGGAGATTTGTGAGAGGTGTCTTTGAAAGATGAGGAGCGGCTGAAGGAGCTGGGCTTGTTCAGCCTGGAGAAAAGGAGGCTCAGGGGCGACCTTATCGCTCTCTACAGGTACCTTAAAGGAGGCTGTAGTGAGGTGGGGGATGGCCTGTTCTCCCACGTGCCTGGTGACAGGATGAGGGGGAATGGGCTAAAGTTGTACCAGAGGAGTTTTAGGTTGGATGTTAAGAAGAACTTCTTTACTGAAAGGGTTGTTAGACATTGCAATGGGCTGCCCAGGAGTGGTGGAGTCACCATCCCTGGAATGATCACCATCCTAACACTTTTAGTGTTAGGTCAGAGGTTGGACTCAGTGATCTTGAGGTCTCTTCCAACCTAGAAATTCTGTGAAAATAAATTATGCTGATGGCTCACTTAAGAATCTTCAGATTCTGGTCTCTCCATTTCTCACTTCTCACTGTAAACTGGCACTTGGAGAATAGTAATTATGAGCAATGAGAATTTGAGCCTGATTTTTTTTTTTTTTTTTTTTTTTTTTACTGGAAGCATTCAGAAAGAACATACCTATAACCATCTTAATACTATCTTCTTTTAAATTCTTACATATGCTTAAGTGTCAAATGCATTTCTATGGGGTTAAAACAATTAAAACAATTTAAAGCTCTTGGAGAACTATTTATCTCTGTGTTTGTACATACACAGTTACACTACAGCTTCTCATTTAAAAAGGAAAAATGTACCCTTCTAAATCTTCTAGGAATCGTTCTTTAAAATATATTTTGAGTTATAATCTCTGACCAGACCTCCTAAAGTGAGATGCTGTATGGTTCTTTTAAGTAAAAATATTGTTACTTATGAATAAATCTGTCTAAGCATGCTATAACAAATTACTTTAATTCTAGAATAGAAAGTCAAGTATTTAAATCCATTATAATTTATAAGGAAGAACAGTAAATTTAAGAGTACAAAGGTTTACACAATCTCTACCTTGTGTTAGCTGCTTCAAACCATCAGTGTGTAAAGCAAGATGGTAAATAGCTGTCATGTCAATATACATTAAAATAAGCACTACTGAAGTCTGTATGGACAGACAAAATCATCTGTTAACATTTAATTTTGTTAAATTTGCTTCTTCTCTTGTAAAACACTTTTTTTTTAATGGTATCTCATTCTCTGTGCTCTGGATTCTTCTGTTTTTTTTCTGGATTCTTCACCTTTTACACATGATGTCTCCTTTCAACACTATATTTCTACTCTAATATCTAAAATACATTTGTTGTCTTCTATTGTTAGAGCTGATTAGTGCACACTCTGTTCAGGTTTGTGCTACCCTTCTTACTTGGGAAGATTGTTTCATAAGAATCTCGAAAACAAACCTGATAATCATTCTTGAAGATTTCAAAAAAAAAAAAAAAAGGTTCCTTTCCCTTAAAAGCTATGAAAAATCTTGACAATGTTGATAAAGCTGATGTGCTTGCTACAATTGCTGTCTATAAAGCTTACAAAGAATTCTCACTGATATCTTGGGCTCTTGCATGTCTAGCAAATGTTGTCTCCAGTCACATCTCAGTGATCAGCTTTTGGGACAAGAACAAGATTTTGTTCTATTTTCCAAAATATTCTCTTGCGTGTCAAAATGCGTAGGCAGCTAACTACCAACAGTGTGCCTATTTACTGTGGTAAAACAAATGAATAAATATATGAATTTTTATTATGTCTTCTATAAAGAAGACAAAGCAAAAGTTATCAGAGACGTGATGCTACTAGACATTTTTCTCACTCAGTCACAACAACAAGGCATAAACATTTCATGAATCATGCAATTTTTAGATGGACAGAAATATCAGTCAACAGAAGCAACGTCAATAAATAAATTTGAGATAATCCTGCAGTAATCAAAGCTCTATTTAGATATGCTCTGGAGTATTTAATATGTCTAAATAAAGAAACTCAGCTGTGTAGCAGAAAAACGATGCTGATGTAAGCTATTTGGTGCTGGCATGGAACCAAAATGGATGACATTTCTGCTGTTCTGCTCAGTTTCTTTATTTAGGTGTTTCTTACACTAGATGCTGCTTTATGATAGTTTTCTTCCCCCACCCCCCTCCTTTTTTTTTTTTTTTTCTTAAAAAAGGCAAGCAAAACACCCTTCACGTCTAAATTGATCTATGTAGGATGTCTGATAATCTAAAATGTTTTTGATCACTTCCTGGCTACCAGCTCAACTGTTCATTAAGATTCTCAGTGTTAGATTTATTTACCTGTGTAGTCAATTTATGGTGGTTCAACCTAATCTAATTTTATTTGGCTTCTTTCTAAGAATGCAATGAGCAACCATTATCAGTGTCTTGCTAATATTAAGACGTTCTGTGTCTACCACTTTTCCTTTATGCATTCATTATTCCATCAAAGAAACCAATTAGTTTGTTTTCACTTGATTTGTGCTTTTTACAAATGTGTTACCAATTTATCACTGTATTTTCTTCAAGCTGTTTACATACTGATTGCTCTTGCTTTGCTAATTGTTTTAGTTATTTGTCAGGTATTGAAGTCAAATTTAGTGGCCTATAATTTTTCATCTTTCTTTATCCCTCACTTATTCTCTTTAAAATTTTAATATAAATTTAACTCCCATCCCCCTTGGTCTCCAGAGGCAAAGAAGTAAGTGGAGACAGATTTTAAATTAAACAGTAAACACTAAGTAAGACTTGACTAATAAAACCTAGTTTGAACAATAAATGACTTCAGTGGGCAAAGGAGAAAATTGTACAGAAATTGGATGAGAGGAATGGATTCTGTCTTTGGCCTACAAGGCCATACCCTCTCTTGTTGCCCATACTTGTTTTCCATAACTGTGCATATCTGCAGCAAGGTAAAATGTTGGCGCTGCCGTTTGCATATTATTTTTGGATCATGAATCAACAAATTAAAGATCACTGCTCTAGCCAAACCAGAGCTAAGGCTACAACATCAGTGTTACAGCACTACAGGAAGAAATAGCATGGCAAGAGCCAGAAATGATGTAATATTTGGCTTTATATGAGAAAGAAAAATTAAGTCCTATCAAGACAAGAAAATAGGTACTGTTTGAAAAGGGCAGAGTAATATAAAATATCTGGTTCTTAAGTAGCTGAGGACTGATTCACAAAGACATTTATTACTTAAATCTCATCAGCTCTTTGGATGTTGGCCTTAAACTCAATGTTCAGCTGCAAACAGCTAAACATTTTAAAGGATAGTAAATCTGTCTATTATTCCTTTAGCTAACACAATTTAACTCTTTTTAAACACTCCCTGTTTCCGCAGACTGGACAAGATTATGAGGCCTGTGCTCTTTCAAGGCAGTTACTGTCATCAGCTCCCTCAGTATTCAGCTTTCAAGGAAAAGAGCTCACAGGATAATCACGACATGAGAGGGAACTATGGAAGAGCCCTTACCAATGCTATTTTATTTCTGCAGCAAATTTTAAGATCTATTAAGTTTCTATCAGATTTGAAGCTAGCCAGCAACAGGTAGTTGGCACATCTGACATGCAGTGGGTGCAAAAACTACAACACAGCATTGCAGACTTACAGGAACACAGCCTGGCTGCAAGATGCTGCACAATAGGAACTAATGGACAAATACAGTTCAAAACTACAAATTTCATATTTGGAAGTCTTGTAAAAAATAACACACTTGATTTTGAGTCATCACTGTGACCATGAAGAATGTCATACATCTATGAGGGATTCAATTTTTTTTGCAGTGCTCAATTAACTTGTGGCTGAGACTCCAAGGAGAGTCTGCTAAGCACAGCTCTTACTCAGAGATGTTCGCTTTAATGTGTCTTGTAAAGCTGAGTGAATTTCAGGGAACAGAAGTGGTAGTACTGTTGTGACAATATTCAGAGCATAATGACTTGTACAAATTTTTAATCTGAAAAAGTATAGCAAAAGTCAACACAGGATTTAATTGTTCAACAGAGAAAAATTATAATTTACCATCTGCCATTTTTAAGTACGCCTCTTAAATGTATTTGAGCTTGTTCTTTCTTGACACAAAGTTTGAACAATTCAGGTAACTTCATAGATGTAATTTCTCTCCAAGAACTATAACACCATACCAAACAGCATTCTGGTTTAAAAGAAATCAGTGCTATACATTTACATTAGGATATATGTTATCTGGGTTAAACGTTCAATAATTAATACACCTAAAGTCTCCTTATGATGAGATGTTTCTCACGTGTCTCATTACAGATTTAGTTCTGGTACTATGAAAAATGTTAATGTTAAGTCTGGAAAAAGTAACGATGCATGATAGTGATGGATAATATGTACAGGGTAATAATACAGTTTCCTTAGGATTGTAGCACAGCAACTTGCATGGGACTTAGATCAGGCTGTTTGGGACCTTATCCCATTCTTTACAGCACAGAAGTTGGTCCTGCTTTGAGCTGGAGTTCAACCAAATGACCAAAAGAGGTCCTTTCCAACCTAAATTACACCATGATTGTAATCTGAAAATTGCAGTTTTCAAGTGGGAACTGTATTGGGAGGAAGAGCTGGAGCACTGTTCTGTTGTGTTTGTGGTTTGCCTGTTAGATGTTATAGCACCAATGCAACAGAACTCTCAGACATAAAAAGCTTTATTTCAGAAATAAGGAGTCTTTCATGAAAAAACAGCATGCACTCTGGAAGCAGCCTGCTGTGCTCTTTCTATTTAAAAATTTACATGCATCTTCATATTGCCACATACACAGATACACACAGGTATTCTACCTAGACAGGACAAAGAACTCAAAGCAGATCTACAAAACCAAAGACTGCTCAGTGGGCTCCTGAACAGATTCTCAAAGGACAGTGGCAGGAAAACAAAACTCAGGCAGTGGAAATATAGAAGGAATGATGAGTGGGAACAAAGAAGTCATATGGCCTTGATGAGACTAGTATTGGAATACCATATATAGTTTTGGTGACTGTGTTTTTTGTAAGATATGTTGAGTAACTGTAGTAGAGAGTGGATAAAAGATCCACAAAAGGGCTGGCAAGCCTTTTGTACAGCAGAGACTGGCTTTAAAAAGACTGAGAGGTGATATATAATCATGGTGTATGTATAGGATAATGAGAATAAAATACAGGATGCTGAATAATGCCTTTATAGTTACACAATCTTCTAAAAATAGCAAAAATGCAGTTCAAACTTCATTTGTTTCCTATTCCAGAATGTTTTCTATAAAACTGAAGATGAACAGTCACTGGGAATGCATTCTGAAGAGAAGCAATGGATTCACTAGCTCTGGATGTTCTCAGAAATATTTTTTCTAGAGAGCTTGATTTTGATATAATTTACTGAGGTCAGTACAGGCTTTTGATGATTTCTTGTAGTATGTGCTAGGTAGCATGACTCAACAGTTCTTTCTGGCATTAGTTTTAATGAATCTTGTCCCTTTCTCCAATGACACAACCTGGTTCACAGATCAAAACACTCTGATGCCAGTTATTGCTCATTGCTATGCAGTCTTTATCAAATAATAATAATAAAAAAATCTAAAGTCTAAATCTAGCATTATGCTAGCTTCTCACATTTGTTATTCAGAAGACTGCAAGAGATACAGTTACTATTAAATCAATTCTGTGGTGATCTTGATTCATTTAGAGAAGAAATGTATTCTGTAAATTTTCAGTCTTACATCTCGTCCTGAGAGATGGTCATTTTGTAAACTCACAGTGTGTAAATCCCACAGCTGAATTTTTACTCAACGATTTTAATGAACTGCTGAATGTCAGTTCTTGCAGTCAAAAGGGTTTACCTTTCCTAAACAAACATGTGATATTTTATTATCTTCAGGTAATGCTAATGACACTGGAAGGAAATGGGAGAGAATCTTTAATACTGCTATTAGAGAAGCTTGGTAGAACGTGATTCACAGATATTCAGAGCACCTAGTAACTATATTCTAAATGAAACAAATTTACTCAGTCTTTAAGACTAATTTTAATGAAAAAATATGAAACAAAGACCAGATCTGCTGGGAAAATAGGTAACCTTTTAAATTAATGTTCCCTGAGCCACAATTAATTTAGATTTAATAGGACAGTTAATGTATGTTATTTGAATACTGATTATTAAACATTCACAAAGGATTAAAAGTTATGTAATAGATTCATAACTGTGAAATTGATATGGACCTATTGCATAGCCATAATACTCTGCAAATATGTTTGAGTATGTAGTTGCTATTTATTTAATATATATTAACTGTTTTATGAAGTCTGAATTAAATACTTAAATCTCAATTGAAAATGTTTCTGGGAAATACAAAACAGAACGTGGGATATGTTTAATGTGCTGTGTTTATCTAGATAAAATCCCGTTGCTTCAGAAACAACAAAAACTTTAGTAGTCTGTGGGGCCTGCTTGAGTAAAAAGTTTTCAATGGATAGTTTCACTGCTGAAATGCCTATGAAAGTAAGTAGACGTCAGGATGATGAAGTATCCAAAATGCAGGATCCAGAAATTTTGCTAATGTTGACAACAAAATCCTTTGTTTTCCCAATCTCCTTCCTCCTCAAGAAGCAAACCTATAATGATGTATTAATTGCTGTTTATTATGCTTCCTATTGCTTCGTTTTTTTATGGCTTGTGGTTGCTTAACAGAAGTAAAAGTAATCCTATGGATAAAATGTAGTGAGATAAAAGACCGCTACAAGTCTTACTGCAGATTTCTTGGATGTTTTTATTGTAATTGAAGGTGGCACAAAGATCACTTCTCTAATGACAGGAGCGCTAGCTCTGCGACCAGACAAGCATGCTATACCTACTGCTGTGGCTCCACCTGCTGAAAGGTATTGGTTTGAGTTCAGAAGGAGTACAACGGTAAAACACATTGCATCTCCTATCCACTCACTGTTTTTTTTTGTTTTTTTTTTTTTGTATCTCTGCATGGTACTGTGTCTTCATAGCATATAGGGTGTAGACGTATCTTGATTACTTGACAAGAACACAGCCTCTGTTTCAAAGGCAACTTGTACCTCTTGCCACCAACAGGCCTGTAACTCCTTCCTGTTCCATCAGCTGGATCTCAATGTAGGTACACTCCCGAGCCCAGATGTGTGGCTGGGCTGGCACAGTCCTGTAGGACATTGTCTGAGCTACAGTCCCATGTCAGTAATGGTACTCCGAAATCATTTGCCTCCTTTGGCCAGCATAGCCTTTTTTATTCCAGCCACCATATGAACCTTTCTCATTTTTTTTTTTCTTCAGAGTTTTCTGCCTCAGTTTGAGGCACTTTGCAGGGGAAGAAAAAGAGAATCTCTTGCTTCAGGCACCATTACACAGCCAATAAAGTTGGGACTTTTCTAGAGTTAATGTTCTGTAAAATCTAAGGTGATAAGATTTGGGAACGCAGGAAATTCTTCAAAGTATTCATGTTAAGGAAGTTTAACTTCTGAACCATTTGAATGCTTAAGCATCAGACAGCTTTTCTTTCGTATGCATTGTTCACACAACAGTGCAAATCCCCATCTATCTGGCTAGATATAATCACTACCATCTTGGAATACCATTTCCTTCTTTTCAGCCATAAGCACTGATGTGTTAGTAATGAAGTAGTTCAGCTTGTATTTTCCCTGCTAATTCTACTCCCTCCCCTAAATCTGTGTCTTTGGATCCTACTTACATTATAACATCTTTTAGAGCATTTAATGAAATATGATGAGGAATAGAAGGAAAACTACTTTATTTCTATTTTTATTAGTAGTTATTGCTTAGAAGTCTATTAATGCTGAGTAATGTGCCTAACAGATGCCAATCTTTTCAGAAGGAGTTAAAGTGAGTTACACATTTTAGCAACATTTTCAATGTAAGGCTTTACAAGAACCATATTTACTTCTTCCCCTTTCATGCAGATATATATTTCTATAACTTTTTATTGAAAATTCACATTGGATATATAAAAGTCCAAGAGGTTTCAAAGTTACATGAAACATTTATTTGGAGGCCAAATACTAAAGAAGTGGTGATTGGATTGCATGTCAATAAGAAACCTGGCACAATATATTTTACACATATCTGTGCGGTATGCATTGCTTTCAAAAATTTACCAATGAGACTGTATTTCATAGTCAGTCTTCCACCTACAATTATAGACTAGAACAGCAGAGGAGGAATGAGATCCCTGCATGAGTCTGCTGAATCCACATGGTACTTTTTTTCCCCTTTGCTTAAGGCAAAGAAAAATCAAGCATGAAAATCTTCAGGGCTGACTGTTCTTTCTGCAGAAGTGCATCTGGTGATATTTCAGGTTTTAACATACAAAATTTCACTGTCTAGTTCTGGCTTAATTTGGGATTTACTGAAAACCAAAACCAGAGACTTCTAAATAAACAACGTAGAGAGCAGTCTCCTTTTAAGCATTTCCAAAAAGTTTTCCATAAGAAGTTCACAAACTAAGCCAACTAATGTTTGGGGTTCTGCCAAAGCATTCTTGAAATACTCACGTCTACTTAAAGGAACAACCAGGTAAAGGGAAGTAGTGTTCCTCCTCAGTTTTCCCAACTGAGTCTAAAATTCTATAAACTATAATTTCATTTAATATATAAACTATATATTCTAAAAACTATAATTTCACCCAGTTATACTGCTGATACTGAAGATCCTGACCCTTGAATACAGCAGTGCCCAAGTTTGTTGTGTGCAACATGACAAACATCAGCTATGCATCTGGGAATGCCTGTGTTTGTCACAAACCAACAGCAGAGCTCGGATTAAGTAAGTGAACTGACAGAGGCAGAGATGTAATACTACAACCTACAGTTGTGCAAGATGTACTTGTATAAAGGTGACTCTGTGCCTGCTTGGATTTAGTGGTTAATAGCAAGCCAGTGTGTGCCAGCAGTTATCATCACCTCTGTCTACTTGGAATAGCAAATAACCACAGTATTGCAGACATAGCTAAGAGCAACCAAATGCTTCCTCTTCCTTGGTGATTGCTGTAGCAAACAAAACATATGTCCCAATCCATTAAGGAAAGAGATGAAATGTGGTAGGTAGAAGACTCCAAGGCAGTGAGAACTAGGGGCAGCATGACGGTCCCTTGTGAGCAAAATTAGGGAACAATCATTTTGATGAAGGTGATGATAGCTCAAGAAAAATGTGGAGGGATGTGAAATCTGAACTGATAAAAGCAATGGACAGAAGTAAGCAAAGTAAAGAATCAGAATGAAAGACAGACAAAAAATCACTTAAGAGCTCCTATTTATCTCTCTACCCTGAGGACACATGAAGGATTTGAAGTGCTGCCAAAACTATCTTTGTTTACACATAAATGCTGATAAGAATTTCCTTCATCCTACCCTATTTCTCACCCCCTTCCTCCTAATTTCTTGGATACAAAAATTTTGTAATTAGTAAACTAGAATGAACAGAGAAAAAAATAATTTTGAAAATTGAATGTGTTAGTGGTAAATTTTATGAAGGGAAGGAAAACAGCAAAAAAGGACATAGGATACTCATTTGCAAACTGGGAGCAAAAAACATTTTTAAAAGTTCAAGTCTCACCTCAAGTAAGGCATTACCAACACCACCAAGATTACCAACACTGGCAGAGGATTGCAGGACTGAGGGAAAGAGAGGTTAGGTTTTTTTTTTTGGTTTGTTTTAATTCATTGTTTAAGAAAAAAGAAGCATAGATTGCAGAAAGAGAGAGTATTTTTGAGTAGTTGCTACTCCTACTGTGTCCTGTAAATTTTGGGTACAGTTTTCCATCTTTTTTGCAGCCATATCACCTACTATAAGATATTGCCTTCCCCTGCAGATCTTGTCTTTCTTTAAGGTATATATTCTGGCTTACTTTACTGCTAAGAGAGGAGGTTGTGCTCCCTTTGCTAGTGTTCTTGTCTTGTTCCGACACTGGTAATCTGTTAGTTTTTCCCTGAGCTGATTCAACTCCATAACCTGTCAGAAAACAAAACGAAAAAAAAAAAGAAAAAAAAAAAAAGAGAGAGAGAAAAAAGAGGGTAGGTTAATTGTTGAGTTGAATGGGTCTATTGTACAGTCAGATTACTAACACAGGTAGACCAAGAGACAGGGTATATAACCTAAAAAGTAGAACGGTTGTGGGAAATCTAGGAGGAACAGGACTTTCTGGTTTTTGAAGCAGCTGCAGAACGTAGTTTCATCCTTATATCTTTAGACCACCACAACTACAATACAGGTAGTGATCTAATGAATGTGAAAAAAAAAATTACATTTCAAAAGAACAAAAAAAAAAAAAAAAAAAAAAAACAAACCTTGAAATATGTTAAGTGATTCCTGTGAGACACATGTTTTGCATTAAAAGCTTTTCTGAGTCAATGTAAAAAAATACTTTTTCAAATCTTTAGCAGAAAATAGAAGTTGCAGTTTTTGCACAATGGAGGAAAGATGAAGGTAAAAAGCACAAGCCTTCATGAACAGCCTTTTGCTTAAAGCTTTCAAGCCTTTTGAAAACAGGTGAGGAACAATATGATTTGGAATTAGATTCATTGCAGTAGCAGAGTAACTAAGAGAAGACAACAAAATAAAAATCAACAAATCACTCTGAAGTTTCAATAATACCAGTTTAAACAGAGACATCGCTTAAGATGGTAGGTGCTTTGCAGCTGGGAAATATAGTTAGAGACCTTAGTAGGGATGATCTCAGAGAAGTGGTGAGAACAGCAGATTGTTGAGAAATACCAAGGTCAAGAAACGTGTATCTATAAAATAAAAGGAATTAAAGTGAACAGGACATTAATATGAAAAGTAGTGGTGAGAATTTGTCTCTTCAGGATTATGGGAAAATCAAGAGTTAAAATGGTCAGTGACTGCAGTCACCAGAAGAAATAGTTCCTCGTCATCACTTCTGTCATCGCCTCTGTGTTATGTGACAATGTAGATCACCTCCCTGATGCAACTGGAGACTAATGTGGTCTAAACAATGCATTACCACAAATGCAAGGCAAGGGAGAAGAATAAGTAGCTGCAGAAAAAAAATGGGAATGTTCCCTTCAGTAGCACTGAACTGCAATCTTGATTAGCAACACTGAAACTGAGGTGATGCTAAGCCAAAATGCTCTGGTGGTGCCAATGGTTTAAAGTGACATATTCTGCCAGAAGCAGCTCTATGCCCTGTCTCCATGTTGACCTTCACATGTTGTGTTTCAGCCAGCTTTATGTAGCTGTGCAGTGAACCACACTGTGGAACTGACATAGGTGAAGGTAGGAAGAAAGTAGAAAACATGAAGAGCTGCTTAACTCCAGACCAATTCTTGGGCCATGTTTTGATACAGTAAATCCAGATATAAAACTGCTGGTGCTGGATCAAAAATAATGGGGCTCCATGATACAAAGCACTGATCCAACAGAAATTAACTTTCCAGTTTGAATTTGTTTAAAACAAAGCCCCAAACTGAAGAATTGACTTTATACTGCTGAGCTGTATGCCGATCAGATATATATTTTCTTATGGGTGCCACAATAGCATCATAAGAGCACAGACATTGTCATTTTGTATTTCGTGTCCTGACCTAATTTGGGTCAAGTATAATTGTGACTTTGCATCTCAACCAGATCAGGCTGGTCCTGCTGAGTGACTCTGTGACTAATACTAAAGTTCAAGGAACTATGGTCTCTTTGTACTCTGGTCAACAATTCCATTAAGTGAGACAGGCTCCATTTTGATTTGTAAGAGTCCATAAAACAGAGGAGAGAAAGCATGGTGGTAGGTAAAGAGTATCCACAACACGCCCAAGTCATTTTGATGCTGTTCTTGAAACCTTGTTCCACCTGCCACAATCCACAACTCCAGTAGTCTGCCTGTATCTTTTATT